AAATGTATGTAAATAGTACTTTTACTCTTGCCTTTATATACTATACGCTCTAGCTGATTCATGGTTATTCGTTTTTCTTTCTCGTTTTATTGTATCATTAACCATTAATATAGTAATTTGTAGATGTATAATTTGTATTAATGCCATAGAACTAAAAATGGATGATTAATAAGAACCGATATTAAATGAAAATAAAAAGAAGAGAAAATTTAACAGCGAAAATGTTAATATGAATCAGACATACACCCAAGTACAGTACCAAGGTCGATTTGTAAGTATAAAATATGGATGATACAGGTATAGTATTTCTTTTCAATCCAGGTATGCATTCTACGACAATTAAAATCCAGATCGATACATGTAGAATAAGCAATGATACACACGATTTTGTTACAAAATAAATCCAATATGTAATTGAAGGTGTGGGTGTGAGCATAGTAAGAATGACTCACACCCACACTCCATAAATAAATATGTTCGAAACATGTTTGTTATAACGGATGAGGCATAATCAATGGCCACGTTTTATAATTTATACTTTCATCATTTAATACAGTACTCCAAAGAAGTCTTTTGCTCCTTAGATCTTGGAACCCATTAAGTTCTTCGTTGCTGAAGTCGTTTATGAGTATATTCTGATCGACAGAACAAATCTAAGTTCAAATATTTTCGGATATCATGATTCAAAGTAAAAGGGTGTGAGTGTGGGGTGTGTGGATGTGGGTTTGGGTGTGAGTGTGAGTGTTGGTTTCTGACTTCAGATAAAGACAACCATACCCATACCCACACCCACACCCACACTCACACACACCCACCCACACCCATTCATACCCACACACCCTTAAAAAATAGTTCATGACAATGTTGTTACTGGTCTTCATCCCATAATAAAAGCTATAGACCTCAAACTTTATAGTTATGTAGTATTTGACAGGTACAATAATCTGCCAAAGTTTCAAGAAGTTTGCCTTTTGTTGAACGCGAGAGCGATGAATTTCAAAATTGTAACAGAACTTCTGGGACACGCACGCGTTATGTAGTGTTCTTTAAATCTCATCATAAAACCATTAAATTATAGTGCATTCAAGAGCAGACACTTCCCCAATCTAACCAGCTATGAATCAGAAAAATCACACATTCGATCAATATTAGCTTTTTCTGAGGGGGGGTCCTTAAGTGAATCTAGAAGTAAATTTTTCGACGAATTGAAAGTGTTTCAAAAACAAAGACCAAAAATGTTCAATTTATTCTGGTACAACTATTGCATTTACTTCAATTTCTTAATATTACTTTGTGTGTTCTGTATCAACTTGAAAGCTCTTCGCGTAATGAAGCTCATTCGATTGATTCTTATGTTTCATTTCGATTATGTCCCCATGCATTAAAAATGTTACTATGTAATTTTAGAAAATATCACAGTTAAGAGGTTAAGTAAAAGTTACACGTAAATATTCATATGTAGTTCATTAATCATTGGAATCAATCCAATTTATCGATTTAAGAGACGATAGATGAGTTCAAAATTATAAAAGTTTTTATCAAACAATTTCAAAGTAAACCAATTACAATAAATAATCTACTATATTATTTTCACTCTAAATAAATTTTATCCATAACATTTTTAATTGAAAAATCGAAACGTTAATTTTTCCTATCAATCATTTCTTCTAATGTTTCAATCATTTCATCATGTGCTTCTGAAATAGCTAAACATAATAATCGAAGTAAAGAATTAGATACACCCTTAATTTCTGTTAACAAGTCAGCATACATGTAATTCATACATTCAATTTGAAGATGATTAATACGTGAACAAATTAAAAGTAACATATAAAGTTCATCCGCGTTTTCCATACTTTCAAAACAAATTTTTTGAATTTGATTTTTAGGTAATACAATACAAAGAAATTCGATTTCATCCTCTGAAAAATCTCCTCGTTGTGAAATTGGTAAAGAAAAATTTTTAATGTTATAATATCAGGTAATAAATGTAAAATTTCCATTAATTTATCACAAGAAACTTTTTCTTGAATTTCTAAATGATAAATTTGTGTTAAAGTTAATGCATGATGAATATAATCATTTAAGTGTATTGTCTTTGTCCATTGTTCAGGACATAGATCATCTAGACGAAGTCGAATAGATTTTGATAATTCATCAGAAGAATTCATCATCGAATTTTGTGTATCATATTCATACCATCTTTTTCTAAAATAAAATAATAGATATTCAATGAGAAAAACTTCTTTTTGATACATACTAATGTGGATGAATTGAATAAATGATATCTTCAAATTCAAATTCAATATCTAATATCCATCGTCGTTGAAGCCAAAATGATGAAATAAATTGATCACATTGTCCAAGATACATGGGGGTTTCATAATTTTCTTCAAAATATGCACTGTATTTAAAATAAAATTTTCCCATCGATTAGCATCAAGATAAGTAATATCTTCAACTTGTGTTGTCAATGATAAAACTTTTATTTTCAAATTTATTTAACTAATAAATTTTCGAAAATATTAAATGACATTTTGCTATATATATGAATAGAAAGATGTGTTAAATTTGATAATGTTATTGGTTTAATATTTCAAATATTTACATTTCGATTGGTAAGATTCAAAAATTTTAAATGACGAAGATGCGAGGTAAAAGATATTATAGCAAAGAGTTCATCGATAGCACAAAGGCGATCCATAATAAGATATTCAATAGAAGTTATTTGTTCATTAGTAGCCATTGGTGATGGAATAGTTATATCAACATCACTAGGTTTCGTTGCTGTATATTTGATATACTTTAATTCTGGTAGATTGAAAATTAATCGATAGGTATCACCTGAATCTTTTTGAACTGACCATGTACCAATTACTAACGAGAAAAGACGTGGTAAACAAATCAATTTAGGAAGAAGTGCTGTTAACCCTTTCGGGACCGGTGACGCTTTAAAGCGTCACCGGTCCCGAAAGGGTTAATAGATCAGGTTGATTTGAATTTAAAATAAGAGATTCAAGACCAATAAATGATGAATCGATGTTAAGTGATGAAATAATTTGATTAGTATTTTGTAATAACAATAAATGAATTGAAAATATTTGATCTTTATTGAGGTGTAAAACTTGTTGATAATTATTCATAAATATTTCTTTTGAACGTGAATAATTAAGTTTTAATAGAAGAGATGAAGAATTGATTAATCGTTGAAAGCGATAATTAAGATTTGAAAAACATGATAGATTTCACAACCATTAAGATAATCTAAAATTTCATAAAACAATTCATCAGATAGATTTTCAATGGAATTTATTGACATACTAAATGAAAATTTAATATTAATAAATGTTGTCTTCTTTTGTCTGTGACTTACGTTTCTTGATTTAATCTAGATGGTAAAAGATGAAATGAATATATCGAGAACGAAACAAAGCATATACATGTTTGTTAATTATTTGATGGATTGACGATAATGTATTCTTTTTCTTTTTCTTTCTACGCAGAATATCTAAGATGAATCATAAACAGTAACCTACCCGCATTCTGTATATGACACATTGAATTTTTTTAATAAATCTTCTTAAGAAGAATTTCAATAAGATTTTTAGGATATTGACAAAATATTCATTCTAGTCATAATTATTTCAATTAAATGTTTTATTTTACTGAATATTCTTCGTCTTCTCATTTGTAAGTCTGATCGAATATTGAATTATAAATCTTTCAGCGAAAATATTAAGTCTTGGCTAGTATTAAAATATATTTAATGTTATTTTGTGTACAAACTATATGGCTAATATCTTCATTGGCAATTTCAGTTTGAAAAGTTCATTGTCGTTCAAGCCAAAATAATGATATGAAAATGCTTAATATATTTGATAACCAAATATTTCATAGAAAAGTTCATGGGACGGATGTTCGATGGATGTTACTGATATTGTTATAATGAAGTTGAATTAGAGTAAAAAGTCAATATTAAATCATTGAAAAAAAAATTTCTTTAGAACATGTCTATATATCAAAGAATAAATAAATTACAACTTTATGAAATACTTTTATATAATAACAAACAGAAAAATCATTTTTATTTTAAATGTTATTTAGGACCAGATTGAAAAGATTCCGTATACGACATAAAACACGATGGGAAATTTACAATACATCGTGTTGAGAAAGTCTTAGATATGAGATGTGGATATTTCTAGCATTTGTGAATGTCTTAGAATTCTCTATTCAAATGGTTTATCCGTTAGAGGATGAGAACGTTCCATTTTCTTAAGTTCAGTTTTTCGATATTGAGAGCGTATATGTGTGACCACTGATGTATATCTACACCTCATTTTGTGGCGTATTCCAAATATTAACAGAGCTGGTCTTTTAAAATATTTTAAATATGGTAGATGTGAAGCAATCATTTTATGTGATTTGATTCTTGATAATAAACATAATATGCAGTGAAATACATCATCAGTCATAATCCTATAATTTCTGTTTTCTAATTAAATAAATCAGATCAATACACGAGAAAGAACAAATTTCAAATAAGCTCAACAAATATTTACTTTTTTGATTCTTTTTAATTTCATTTTTTTCAAAGCGGCTGTCAAATAATAAAAGTGATTATGCATTCTGAGAGAGCTTCAAATTCTCTATCACCCTGTAAATTTTTGTTTTATCCTATATTTGTATGTTGAGTAAAAAATCGAGTAATGTTCAAAGATCCTCGTTGATCAATCCTAAATTAGGGAGAAAAAATTCCAAAAAAACTAGTGACAAAACTTGTGTTTACAATAGATAAATGTAAGAGAGTAAACAAATATATCGGAAAATGAACAATGTCAAGCTCCATCAGAATTTACAATTGCTCTTTCACAATAAACATTCTACGATAATGCCGAATCGAAAAAACTTGATTTGGTTATAGTAACAAAATTATGTCTGTGGAAATCTGGACATCAGAGTGTCTTGATTATATTCGATTTATGTTGGTCATTCAATAGCTATACCAAAAATGAAAATATATGGGGTGGTAGAGAATTCCGTATGCTTTTCGAATATAGTATTACTCTTTTGAAAATATGTTGTTATAGTAACGATATACCCAACTTAAAGTGAGAATTAGAATTCTTTGATATTTTTCTAATAGTAAATTGAAAAATTCTCTCTGTTGCCATTTAGATTAAATAATATCCAACCATACATATATTGTTATGACAATCGCTGATACTATAAATAAAGATTTGATTTTATAAAAATAAAAAAACACACCAATGTTAGTACTGACAAAGTAAAAAAATAAAATTCAGAATAGTCTTATAGTTACTGTACCAAAAAGAAATATTTGTTTTATCATCATTATGATTCAATCCAACAAGTTGACTAGTTTATCATTGATAGCGAAGGAAATATAATTCATATTCAAAGAATAAACATAAGTAATCCTGTCCTCTTTGAAATGGAACTAACTTTTCGCTCAACAGTATGCAGATGTGATATTTTGAACTACTACGTGCTCATCTATGTTCTGCCAAACGATGAAAATCGCAGGTCTCTATCTCGTTGGCTTCAAAATTTAGAGAAGAAAATCTTTGTGTTTTACGTTCAGTCTTGATGAAACTTTCAGGAGATGTTGACCATATCAAAGTAAGAATATCAATTATTTTTGTCCTATTATTTCTTATTGTTCAGAAGATTTTCCATGTTTGATGTCAAAAAATGGCTGGACACTGCGAAACACTCCAAAAACATTGATAACAACATTTTACTGCTAAACAATAAAAAAAGAATGCGATTTCTTGTTCTATTGTCTTTTAGGTTTGAATAGAACTCTTTAGAAAATTCATCTTATATTATAATTCTATGCATGTTACTATTGTTAATTGTTTAACAGAATAATAAACTATTACTATCATTATTAGCAGATCGTCTACTCATTCCTTCTTTTGAAAAGAACAATAAAATTGAAGACGCATTTATAAATAACTATGTTTCTCTTTATTTAAAACATGACATGATGGATATGTTATAGTTCCACATTCTTTAACTAACACAGTTACTCATTGACTATATGTATCATAAATGAAAAATCTATAGCATTCACTAGTATGCAAATATTCTTCTTTTCTACAACATCTTATGAGATAGAAATTCTAGTATTTTTTTATTTCATACCAAAACTCATTTATAGTTACATATTTCTGACATTTGGAATTTACGAAATTTTTATATGTAGGAGTCTGTGTTTACAGTTGTATTTCAGTCAAACACATTTCGTTATTAATAAATGTTTTTCGTCCTTTTTCCAATCATCATAAGAGAAAGTAAACAATTTCACCTTCAATACTGGTTTTATAGTTATGCTCGATTGATTATTTAGATAAGACAAAATATTTTTTCTGTTTTTTTAATTACCGTATGAAACGGTTAACGTCTTCGTCTTCAGTACTGGTTTCGAGTTATGCTTGATTGGCATATTCAAATATAAGAACAGTATCCTTTTCTCCTTCACTACTGCTTTATAAGTATGCTTGATTGACGCATTTCGTTGTCAGAAAATATTTTTTTCTGTTTTTTTTATCAATCACCACAAAAAATAAGTAATTTTTTTTTCAGTTAACTACTGGTTTGTAGCTGTGATTTGCATGTGACGAACTTTCAACTTTTTGCGCCATTCCTTCTCTGTCTATGTTCACTTAACATCCGCTCCTTCCCCCCCTCCCTCCAACAAACATCATGTAGATTGGCGCCTGCTTTTACAGAGTTTTTTCAGTTATTGTACTTGTGATTTCTTTTTCTGCGCTCGAAAAGGAAGAATTTAAAAACAAGGAGTCTTTGGTGTCGTCAATATCGGTATGCTCTTCCGAAAAAATTCAATATATTCAATGAGTTGGGTTGGAGAAAACTAGATTACGCTAATGATTTTACTTACTGGTGAGTGTAGATTTAGATATCATGAACATATCCTAGAAATTTCACATGATTACATCATATATATGTCAAATTCATATTTTAAGAGGAAAAACGAATCTTAATAACACTAATGCAATGTTTTATTTATTATTTAAATATTCATTTTCCTATAAATTTTTGTTTAATAGAAATAATTCTGATAAAAATATAACATTATTAACTAAATATTATCATTTTATTATAATGACGAAACTTATTCTATCTCTGTTCATTCTTGTTATCTTACTTATTCATGTTACAAATGGTCGTTACCGCGATTTTCAATACAAAACTGAACAAATTTATAAACGTGGCTGTTCATTAGATGTAGAGTGTCAAAATGGTGTTTGCTATGGCAGTTGCAGTTTCTCTTACTGTATATTAAAAGATCCAGCAACTAATTTAGCTGCACGGTGCAAGACCAGTGGGGACTGTGATGGATGCTGGGATTGCTACAAACCATGTCCATTTGGCTAACAGTTTTCGAAATATAGTTTTTCCTATTATATATATACATGACAGAATAAAACACCTCATTAGTGATTAGTTTCCATTTAAACACTTTTTCTTGTTTGTTTTCTTTATTATATCTATTCTATCGTACTTATTTGTAGTTTTAAAAAATATTTAGGATAGGCGTGGACGTGGACTTACAGTGATGATACCTATTCTTGAATTTTATAATAAACTAAAATAAAACATAACGCAGCACTAAGAAAAGTTGCTTTTGTCTTATTGGCCAACGGTTACATTTTTACTACTCACTCAGTTTATGGTAAGGATGCAATGTTTACATCACTAGATCGAGAACATTAATAAACAATTATGTTGGAAAAAATCGGCAAAGAATCTCTCAGTCATGCCTAATGTATTTTGTGACTGCTTTTGAATAAATAAGAGTGGCTGAAAGGTTAGATCTCATTATCTTGTTTGATAGCTTAACAATTTAAATCCTCAATTGAATAATAAACTGAATAGAAATATAGTGCCTGGGCCAGGTATATTATATAAATTCTGAAAAAAGTGGAATTTTTAAAATTCGACGTAAAAAAGAGTGTGGGTGTGGAATGTGGATGGGTGTGGGGTGTGGGTGCGTGGGTGTGAGTGTGGGTATGGGTGTGGGTTGTGGATGTGGGGGGTGGGTTCGGCGATATTATCGTCCTTGACACACGCATATAAGCCACACCCACACCCCCACCCCCACCCCCGCCCCCACACCCACCCACACCCACCAACACTCACACCCCACACCCACACCCGCACGCACACCCACACTCCCACACCCACACACGCGCACCCGCACCCGCACCCACACCCACACACCCACTCCCACACCCACATCCACATCACACCCAACCCACACGCACCCCCCACAGCCACAGCCACATCCACATACCCACACCACACTCACACCA